CGCGGGAGTATCAGCCGGTCGGTGTCGGGTCGGCCCCTAGGGCACTATTCGCCTTGGGAGTGGTTCAGCCAGCAAGCGACTTTGTGAGGTGGGGGACCAGACTGGTGACTGCTGCAGTTGTTGTCTGCAGGGTATGTGACACCCCACAAGTTGAGTAGTGCTGAGCCGGGGGATCTTCCTTTGGTTCGTTACAATGCTCGTTGAAGGGTTCAAGTAGAAGTCAATAAGTCAAAAGTGGAAACCCTCCATATCAATTCATCTCCATAGGAGACAATATGAGCAAAAAAAGACAGGAATCCCTTAATCCCGCGGAAAAGAACTCACTCGGGGGGAGTGAGGGAGGTATTCAAAAAGGGAAGCCGCGGGTTCTTGCTTTCCTTGTAGGAAAGGTCTTGGTTTGGCATGGCATTAGAGAAAACTTGTTATAGTTATGCGGCTATATAGAAAAGGCGGGTGGGGCTTCAGGCGGCCGGCCGCCTTCATATAATCAATCCAAATTCCATCGATTGTAGCATTACGTTGTAGCCAGTGATTGCCCGGGTCGGTGTGTGATCACCTTTGGTGAAGCAACCCTTCAGCTGCCCTTCCCGCCCATGCCGAATACCTCCGGCCGGTTCCGCCGGGTAGGGCCAGGAGCTGGTTTGGGGAATCACGGGGTCTTATACTTATTCAGGGGAGCCTCGATTCTATCAATCATTCCATTTCAGAATCGAGATTTCATAGAAGAATGACCGAGGCCAAAAAATCCTTTCACACCCGCTTGAAACATGTGGCTGAATATATAAGGAGGTTCACACACCCTGGACAAATCCATCCTGTATCCCTTACTTGTCACCTTTACCGCTTGTCTTATTTACCGTTTGCTTTAGCAGGTGGTTTATGTCTGGTCCTTTCGGGTCGCCTGACCTGGGCTGATGGCGCTTCGTAACGGCGTTTTTGTCTGGGGTCTAGCGGCTCTCTCTAAGGCTTCGATGTACTAGTACCTGCCACCAAAACATCGTGAAGGATTCAGTGAACGTCTTGAAAGGCAGTAAGACAAGACAATTCACTTTTTCCTTGTTGACTCTACCGGAGGAGTATGAAATCAACAACGTGTAACTGCTTGGGCATTGAGTGTTCCGCTGCTTGAGGAAGTATGTGAGAGGATCGATGTTGAGCAGAAGTGGGGTTAAAGCAGCCAACAACACACCCTCCTTTACTTAGTAGGGCTTGAAAGGCCGGAAAGTTTTCCTTTCCTGTCTAGTATTTTCAATCCAAGCCGAAATAGGAAAAGAAAAGCCGCAAGCACCACTAGGTCCGGTCGTCGGTTGAACGGGTCCGAAATTCATTCCTTACTCAAATAGGGGGTGGCAGTCATCCCAAAAGAAGCTGGCAGTCTCAATGACGCGGCGTGGTCCAGAACAAGCCCTTGCTGATCCATGGGCTTTGTGTTTTGGTTACAAGAAGTGCTTCTTCGCTTGCTTGCAGCGCCTCGACTCGAGTTTTCGCTGTAGGATTGAGTGAGGTGACGCGAGCTGATCGTAGACCACCCTTGCTACGCTCTATAGATGTTCGTACGATTCTTGTGGATCTTGGGTGTGTTCAGCCTCTCGTTAGGTCTTCACTGAAAGATTGTCCACCTTCTCAAGCGTCTCTACCATACCCTTAGAAAGTGACAACGGATGACTTCTATTACTAAATGAGAGCACTTTTCAAACTAGTTGATAGTTGTTCCCTGGTTTCACCCCAAAATGGGACCTGGTATAAGGCGATGGGATGGAGTAAGCGTAAAGGGGAAGAAGGTACGTAATCTCGGGTCTACAGAATCAAACCAATTTCTAAAGAAGCATTCTAAATAAAGAGGCGAAACCTAAAGAGACTATCAAAATGGAAAAGAGAAAGGGAATAACTAAGTTCTTAACCAGGTAGAGCACGAAAGCACGCAAGAGATAGACTGGCGTCAGGATAAAGAGAGAAAGAAAACTAACTACCAAACATACTAAAAGTATGAATTAGCACAAGAAGAAAGAGAAAAGAAAAGCTTCAATAGGGTGGGAAATAAGGTTAGGCTCCGAGAAGAAAGACTATAAAAAGAAAAGAGATTCTACTGTAGACGAGCCCCCATTAATGCGAGTTAGTCCTATACCCTTAGGATAGCCAATCAAAATATAGGCAATTAACAAGACAGTCTTTCTATTTGAGACTATACCCATTATCATTCTACTAATACTAGCCTATTGAGAGGGTAGTTCTCTTTATGTTCGGCCTCATTTCCGAGGTGGGGGTACTCGGGATGCCGGGGGAGACGACCGTCCTCCCCACCTGAACCAAGAATTTATGGATTGTTAGTGGGGTTCAGCCAGCAAGCTTCATGCTTTCTCGAGGAGCGGGTTCTGCCCCCCGAGTCATGGTTTTAAGCATGTTGGTGAGGCTCTGAAAGAGGGCAATGCATGTGTTAAGCATTTAGCGATCCACGATTCGTTGGGCGCTTCGGGACCCTATCAGTCGGCTTGCCAATCAACTGACCCACTTTCCTTGATCGACAAGGGAGCTACCCCTAATCCCTACTTTCAGCCTAGTTTCTTCTATCTTTTTTTTCTGGGATTTCTTCCTCGCCATTTCAGAAGAGAGGAAAGAACTCCTCCGTCATAGGCGGCGGAGGGTTTCGCTTTTTATATATGTTTATATACGAAAAAGAGTCAGAGTTCAAACTCAACATACAATCAATAGAATTTATACGAAAGAGAACATTGGCTTTTTAGGAAGAAAAAAGTAACGGAGTCAAAGCCAACTAGACCCAATCAGTTTACTGAAATAATCAGAAATCATAAATATAGAAATTCAGACTAATAATGTGACTCTCTTTCTTTAAGTAAGAAAGAAGAAGTCAACGCTCATTCAGCGCACCTTACCTAACTCACCCGCTTGAGAATAAAATAAGAAAAACATATGGGGCCATTTTCAAAAAAATAGATACAAAGATAAGGAAAGACACAATAAGTATAAAAAAGAAAGAGCTTACCAAAGAAAAGCACATTTTCTTTTAAGAAAGATTTAAGAAGGTTTCAAAAAACAGGATTTGTTGAATAGGTTTTTCACTTTAATAGATGTTCTTTGGAATTTGCATTATCCTTTTTTAGATGATTAAAAAGTAGCAGAGATTCAAAGAGGTTTTCACTTCTTTCTTCTTTTTCTTTTTTCTGAGTTTCCCTATGAAAAAGATCGATCTTTTATTCCTAAGCCAAAAAAGCCGGGAAAGATGCGCCAAATCACACAACCATATAAGTCAGATATTATTATCATGGATGCTCTCTCCTTGCTTTTGAATGTCATATTTGAGAATCTATTTTTGACTTATTCTCATGGCTTTCGCAAAGATAAAGGGCAAAAACCTTCTTCGCTCATGTCGAAGCATGGGAAAAGATTGATCGACTTATAAAAGCGGATATAGTAGGGTGCTTTGATAATATAGATCATGCCTTATTTAATTCCATGGTGGAATTGCATATAGGAGAGAGGAATCCAAGCATTTGCAATCTTATATCAGCTTTTTTTTAAAAAAGATATAAGAGAGAAAGAGGGAAATTCTTATAGAAATTATGTAAAAATCATTCCTATGCAAAAAAATCAAAGTTTAGCCTTTATCAATACCTTTTGATATATGATATTAATGCGCTCAAGCAACCTATCTTACTAATAATAATGAAGGGCCCTAAGCCCTATCGTTGTCAAACTACAGCTCGAAAGGTTTCTTTACTTTGAGAAAGAGGGGCCATTCTATTCTAATATTAGTAAAGGCGCGTTAGCCTATCTATAGTAAGGGGCCTTTTCTTGATCGTTAGCGCTTGAGTTTGATTGCAGGACGTTTAATATAATATATAGGGCTTTTTCAGCTTACTCTGCTACAGCGGAGGGTGCCGCGGTTTGTAGGCTTGAAGGACTTAGCGCTGTGACAAGTGGTATCAGAGCCAAGGGTTAGGCCGAGCCATGGCTAGTGGGAAGAACCCGTAGGCTAGTGCCGTCGAAGAGGCTCGACGGAGATGGTTCGAATCAAGCGAAAAAAAAGGCATTCGTTGGCACCCGAGATGCGTCGGATCGAAGACTTTTGGGATATGGAGCGGCTTGTCGGACGTAGTCCGAGGAGGCGTCGATGAATACGGCTGCCATCTATCTTGATGGTTCAGCCAAGTTCTGGTGGCAGACCAAAAGACGTAAAGAACGCGGAGCGTGAAGTGCAATTAGATCCATTTTGAGAACGAGTTTCGGGCAGAATGGAGGGTTCCTGTCCGGTTGTGGTCCGACATGTTGATGAGCCTGAAGCAAAGAGGCCCCATACGCGAGTATGTGAAGGCCGTCTTTCGTAGTTCTCCCTGGACATTTTTGATATGACGGAAGAGGACCGGCTCTTCGATTTCATGAAGGGGCTCCAACCTACGCCAAAATGTCCAAGACTTAGGGGCGAAAGAGGCAGCTAGCCTGCTAGATTGAAAGTACTTAGCCAGGGGGAGTCGAGGCCAGGCCAAGGGCAAGGGCCTAAAGTCTCGAAAGGGCAAGGACTCCAAGAAGAAGCCAAGCCTGAGGCCAAGAAAAGCGAGCTCAAGATCAGGAGCCAAAGCGGACCGAGAAAAAAGAAGGAAGGCTTCATCTGCTCCAAGCCCCTAAAGAAGTTAAGGGCGACAGCCCTCAAAAAAATGAAATGGAAAGAGTTCGTTTCTTCCTCAAATTGGATTAATGGATCGTCCAACTGGAAATGATAACAGAATGCATAGGTCATTAGAAAGAGTTCCAATAAGCGGATAAATAGAGTATACCACCTGACTTCTTTCCTCTATGAGGGAGAAAGCAAATTGAAGAATCCGCGGATATGAGAAAAAGTCAAATGCCAAGGAAAATGACTCGTGATAAAGACAAGATGGACTTTGGCCAGACGTGCTCGGAATCTTTTTTCTTTTTTGATTCGGCCTGAACCTCGTAAACTCGGTAGCTCCTCGCTTTTGTTCAATTATAAATAAAGAACCACTTTGATGAAGATTTGTAGCATCATTCAAGTAAATACAGATTAAGATCGTAGAAACATGAGCTTGTGATATAGCTACACCTAATTCCGGACCGGTTAATGCAAGAACTATAAATAAAGGACCAGGATCCCCTATGAAATATAAAAGATCATTCATACATAGCATAGTCCAAGCGGACCCACTTAAAATCTTTACTGAACTATGACCGGCCATCATATTAGCAAATAAACGTATTCCTGAGCTTAATGCGCGAAAACAATGAGGGATTAGCTCAAGGAGTACTAAAAAAGGTGCTAACGGCAGTGGGACTCCTGCGGGTAATAAAAAGCTTAAAAAATGAAGCCCATTTCTTTGAAATCCCACTATAGTAATGCCAATAAAAAGAGAAAATGAGAGACCCAAAGTAATGAGAAAATGACTTGTAACTGTGAAGCTATAAGGTATCATACCCTGGAGATTACGAAATAACGAAAAAGTAAAAGTGACCGAGATGCGAGGGAAAAACTTTTGTTTCACATTTCCGGAAAGACCACCTATTTGTTCGTTTACCGGGTTCGGCACGAAATCATAAATAAGCTCTACCAAGGATTGCCAAGCATTTGGTACTGAGTTTCCTCCTCCGTTTTTAGTAACAAAATGAACCAGAAGTAGGACCAAACTGAGAGTTATCAGCATAAACAAAGATGGATTTGTGAATGAGAAAGAAAAGTTTCCTATATTCATAGGAATCAATGGGAGAATGGCAAATTGCTCAAGTGGGCTGTTGGGCGTAATCGTAAGAAACACTTTTCATTTCATCCCTGTAGTTCCGCTTCTTGCTCTAAAAATGAAGAAAGACTTGTCTACAATCGTTGTTGGGTTGGTCCAACCAAGAAAGGCATGGGAGTCTTTGGGCATTGCTTGGGCTAAGTCAAGCAGGAAAGAAAAGCCCTTCTTCGGATTCGAACCGAGAACTTGAGCCTTTTTTGAAAGGGCGAACTGATCAACCTGCGTGTGTTAAGCATATAGCTGAAGTAGCATGATTGTTGCTTCTTAGGACTGAGGCTACTACCTATGAGCTTCAACCGCTCCGTGGGCTTCTCTTACTTAGATGGAGGAAGTAGTAAGCAAGACTTTCTACGCTACGATCTTGCTTATCTTATTTAGAGAATTTCTAGTTACCTTAAAAACAACCTCTTTTTCCTGCAAACAACCTTTTCCATTCCGAAATCGAGAAAGATCACTCCTAAAAGTCAAAGCAACCTTTCTCTTATATAAGATATCACCAAATGAAAGAAAGGAAAGGGGTGACTTTTCTTTCTTCTTTCAGTGATTGAACCCATCGGTGTAACGTCTCTATTTGTAGTATCGGTAGCGTGTTAGTGGGGTAAGCGGCTTTTCCGTTAGTTGTTGGACCTTCTTTCCCTAAGCTATTCTTGTAATCCTTCTCCCTCAAAGCCCCTTATATAGCTGTTTTCATTCGATGCCATATTCCTTATTAGATTAGATGTCACTTCCTTTAGTTTAGCAGCTCCGGTATCGGTAGCATTCACAGCTGATTCAATAGCTGCTGATTCTTGAACTTCCCCTTCTTCCTTAAAAAGCGAAATCGTCCGCTGAAGGCCTAGAGAGGAACAACCCCAGACGCGAAAACCACTCGAAAAGCGAATCTATTTCAATCTACAATCCCAGACGCGACAGCAACCTAAAACGCGACATTCCTTGGGACTTGGGATCAGACATCGGTACCCCATCTCAATCCCAAATCGTCCGGTAGTGGGAAAGATTTGGGTATTCTCTCGAAGGTCAAAATCGTCTGCTGTCAAAAGCTATTAGGGCAAGAGCTATTGGGGATCCATTCTCTGACTATTTTATATGTCACTTCGAAGCAGTAAGCGCATCTATCTCTTTTCGTTTCCTGTCTTTGTTAGTAGTAATGTTCTTTTCCTATACAAGGGAAAGCCTGACTTTGATTCCATTTTTCTTATTCCAATCCTTTTCGTCACAAGAATCAACCCCTTCTCTTCCTTAGTGGCACAAGCTTCCTTTTCTATTCCCCCTAGTCCTTAATATATGGATCCAGAGCAGAGGAGCACATAGATCCAAGGAGAGAGTCAGTTAAAAATGGCTTTTTCATTCATAAGGGGCGTATCGATCTACAAGCGATTCTTTTAATGCCCTAGGCCTTCGACGAGTTAGCAGGGCTGTCAGCTATCACCCTCTTTTGTATCTCTCTTCTGTCTATTAGTGGTGAAAGCGGAATCCAATGCCTGTAGCAGGAAAGAGCAAATTGCAATTCCTAGTGTTAGCATGCCCCTTGTGGAACTTTTTCAGTAAGATGAGCGAGGAAGGGAATTCTCCGATCTCAAGCCAAGCCAGAACTAGCCATTGGATTTTCATGCCCATCTGAGATGAGAAGCCGATCTTATTCGCCGACATTCAACTAGAGGACAACGTTTACGCTAAGAATTGATGGCATGAATAGGCAGCTAGAAAGAATCCCCCGCTTGAGAAGAAGGAGCTATTGAATCAATCAGCTGTGAACGAATCGGATGTTGCAAGAAGAAGCTCTTGGTTGGAGGAAGGAACTGACATTACATACTTCTTTCCTGCTCTTCTAGTTAGCGCGTAGTGGGCCCCTCACTTGCCTGAAAGCCAAGAAAGAGTGCCTCACGCCCACTGAAAGCTGGGGAAGGAAGTGAGATGGTTTTTTACGATTATGGGGTATGCTTTGTCCATCTTATTGGCTTAAGCATCCGATTATCCCATTGAAGAAAGTTCGATGATCCAGACATTCATCTATACCCTCAGCGGATAATATTACAGTAGGCTGTGTGGAGCAGGGCACACCACTTTTGCAAGCTTAGTCAAAGGAGGTGATTGAAGAGGGAATACAAAATGGCTGGATTGTGAAGCAGAGCAAAATAGCCTAATCTTCTGGCACAAAGACTCTCAGAAAGAATGAAAAGAAAAAGAAGGAAGCTGAGGTCTCATACGTCTTTCCTGCTGTAAGAATGAAAAAGACTCCTTCTGCAGGGCCTACTCCAGAGCAAGTAGAGAAAAAGAAGTCAAAGCAAGTACAGCGTCAACAAGAAGGCCTTAAGAGGGCATTCACTCCTTTCCTTTTGGTTTCAGTTATGCAGATGGACTGAAACTCATGCTTGATGGAGGACAGATTCCTATGATCCCAGCTAAGCCAGTCCCTACTCCTCTGCCCAAAGGCTAGGACCCGACTCAGACCTGCGCATATCACTCGAACTCCCCAGGGCACTCTACCGAGAACTGTTACACACTGAAGCAAAAAATGAAAGACCTGATAGAGAAAGGGGAAATCCCCAAAGCTGATCAGCCGAATGTCAACAAGAACCCGCTGCCAAATCAGAAAGTGAACCTGGTGATCGAAGAAGGAGACATGATTGACCCTACTCTGAAAATAGGGATACCAGGACTTTTTCTTGTGTACTCTCGAAGGGGAGAGAGCGAGGATGTTGATGCTTGACTTTCCGCTAAAAAGAGAGTGGTTCTGCCACCCAGTCTAAACCCACTACCAAAGTTCCGACCTGAAAAATGGATCTTCTTCCCCCCAAAACAACTACCTCTGACTGATACTCATCAGATACCCTGGAATTCTGAAGTAAAAGCAGTCAGAGAGTCTGGAAGAGTTTTGGAGATAGGGGGATCAGAAGACATCTCAGCCATTACCAGATCAGGAATGATCGCAGGGCCTTCTCTATTATTAGACCAGGTTCAAGGGCTTCCAGAAAAGCATTTTTGGAACGAGGTTTAAGAGGTGAATCAACCTGTCACAGACAAAGAAGCAGCTTTACGGATTAGCATCTTGAACTCGAATGATCTCCTCTTAAAGTAATTCATTTAACCTTTCCGAGGTAGCTAAAGGGTTTAGTTGTTCGTCTTCCCTATCATGGAAGTCTAATTGCGGATGTGAGGCAAGGCCATCGTTAGGTATAAGTTAATTGATGAAATGATGGACCTGCCCTTGAGCCCTAAAGGTATATATATACCACGATTGCTCCGGCAAAGGTCCTTGTCAGAGTTAAGACCAAATGATGTTCATGCTTTCTATATTATATATATGTCCTCAAATCTTTTCTAAATTCAAGAGCTTCCTGTCTTTCATCAAGAGAGAAGCGTGCTAAATCGTCCGGCAAAAGATTACTAAGAAGCGAAACCCCCTCATTCGAGCAGCAAAAACCCGGAGGTTCAAGATGAGATTTCTTAGCCTTGCAATGGGGACAATCCGGAGCAGATGAAAGAATGCTCGATTGACGAGCAAGAAAGCCTAATAAGGCGATGCCTTCTCGACGCGCTGAACGCCTTTTCCAAGGAAGAAATAAGAAGATAAATGAAAGAAGAAAAATGAACCACCTCTCGTACATAACTAATCAGCCTAAGTTTTTGATATTCTTAGATAGACGATCGGGACTCTGACTCCGAAAGAGAAAGAAAGCTCTCCGACCTGAGTTGGTAGGCGTCACTTTCGCACCTAGTGAATTGGTTGACTTGTCTTTCTCCCAACCACCGTTAGGAACAGGACGTAGCTGCCTAACCCGCTCCCCCCTGTAGTTATGGAAGGTATTGGAATCTCAGTCATAGTCTCTCTCACGATACGCCTTGGGACTGTAGGCAGAAGGCGTAGCTCTAACTCTAACATTCCAAGCGAATCAAAGAAAAGAAAGACTTGAGGAGGGGCAGATGTGACTTTGTGTTCATCTTCTATCTGAGAAGTAAGCTAACAAGAAAACAGACTAACTTACTTAAGAGAAAGGACCGACACTAGTAGCTTCTTTTCGGGTAGACAGAGCGAATCCAATGGTACACAGACTCCGCCTTACTCCCTTCGCTCCTCTCCAACCTGGCTTTCGCTCCTCTCCAACCTGGCTTTCGCTCCTCTCCAACCTGGCTTTCGCTCCTCTCCAACCTGGCTTTCGCTCCTACGCTACGAACACACCGGATATTGAAAAGAGCGCTTACTCTTCTTGCAGCGGAGTCGTTCACAAGAGAAAGACTAGCTGTGGATTCAATAGCAGTTTTTTTCTAAAACAGTAAGAACGCATTCAATGTCATCTCTTCCTAAGTTTCTTAATGTTGTCAAGTAAGGTAGGTCTCAGTCTAGCTGTCCTCCTAACAGCAGTCTATTCTTCTATCTTTGCGGTGTGGTAAGTAAGTATTGTATTGTGTAGCGAGGTTCTCTTGGTTGGGGTCTATGCCCATTCGCCTCTCTTGCCCGGTCGAGAACTAAATTAAGCGAGATTCCAGCCCTCCTTCCTTGCATCCAACTTTTTATGGCAGCAGTCGATTGGATTACTAGGCATCCCTTGATAGCACGAATTGGGTGCGATTGCCCTCAGTTCTTCCGTCCTTCCCACAGCACAGCGCTAATGCCGACTGCAAGGGCCTCCCCCTCTCTTTGAGATTCTCGGAATTTCCCAAAAGCGTCTGCTAAAGCCAATGCAGCATTCACAGCCAGCACAACAGCCAAAGACCCTATGATCCAAGAGCGGATTTATGGTCAATAAGTTACTTAACTTCCCGCCTTTGCTACTAGTGGTCCCTACAGCAAGGAGGAGAGGTAAGACGTGTACATGAAAGCAAGCAAGAGAGCAAAACGGCTTATGGCTTCTTGGATCTACTCGCCATCACTCCCACTTTCAGAGGCAGTAGGAGATAGATCCATTCTTTCCATTACGACTGGAGCCTTATTTGTTTAATCTAGTAAGGGGGGGACGGATCAACACCATTTCTTCCTGTTGCCTATTATCAAGATTCATCTTTGATAG